GCTGCTGGCTGCAAGTTTAGACCTGGATACACTTGTGCTTTAAAGGCTTGTCAAGGTTACTTCAGAATTTTTATAACTCTGCAAATATTCCTGACATGAAATGACTGGGTGCATCCTTAGGCTATTTAATTAATACAATGTAGATTGCATTCTTCTTTAAAGGAAATTGTAACACTTAAATTTGTTAGTTTAATGGCCCAGTTCATTGTTGATTAAGCTATCAGAAACCAAATTAGTTTTATCTCACAACCAGCTGATTGTTTTATTTCACTGATAGGGCTGAAATTCTGTAAAATGCTAATTTCCTGTTATGATGAGCATCCTACTGCTCTGTTCTGCACACACTTTATAGCACTTTTCATTCATTTAGCAAATGTTTGAGTTTAATATAGTCCAGTCACTGGGCTAGATGCTTTCTCAGCAAATTATAGTTTTTAGGGTCTCCTGTTAAATAACCTCTGGGATGTCTGAGACTTTTAGATCAGATCATTAAATATGTTTTTTTAAAAAAATTTAACGTTTGTTAGAGGAAAAAATATGTATTGACTTCTTTGAAGCTATTCTGTCAGAACACTACTCATGTGTTACTAATGTCCATGTACGTATTGGTGCAAGGGCAGCTAGACATGTCTTAGCCAAAAGTGAGAACTGTTTTGGGAAAATTCAAAGCCATGTGGTCTATTGGCTCTGATTTAAGATAAGCAGAACAAATAAATCCACACTCCAAAAGGACTAGTGCTTCTGTTTTTCTCTGCCCTTTAAACTTCTAGAAGAAAAATGTTCAAAGCTTGACTATTTTACAAGCTTAGAACTGAAAGGATGCCACAGTGGGTCAGACCAGTCATGATTCATGCAGCCTAAGCCACAGATCCCTTTACAGGGAGAATGTGGTTGTCCCTGAAAACGACAGCCTCAGAAGGCTAGGTGTTGTACCAGTTATGAACTAATAACAGAATCTTGACTATACAAGTTAATTTTTTTTCTGTGCAAGAATTCAGGAGGTAGAATTTTCCTGTTGTTGGTTCAGTGACATGAAGATGGACATCTTTGCGTTCTTTTGGCAGAGGTTTGCAATTTCCTGGGCCTTGCTTTTCTCTCTCAAGATGGCTAACCATTCTGTCTGTTTTCCAGGCAGAATATAGGAAGGAGGTTAAGGGCAAAAAGGCTGACTCAGCAACTTCAGATATATCTCTGACCAATCCTATCTTCAAAGGAGTCTAGGAAATGTAATTTTTCAGCCACTCCCATTGCCCAAAGTTCTGTTAGTAAAGAAGATGAGAAGGGGTATTGGGTAACTAGCAGTCACTACTACGGGTATGTTATGAGAGGTTCGAGATTCGATCGGAGATGTAAAAAAAACTTTCCACTCCAAGCAAATGGACTGAAGGTATATTTTATTATATAGAGGATAGTAAAGGTGATAGTCCGCAAACAGATCCAAATAGGTGAAATAATAAGAGGGAAAAAACACCAGCTCGACTGGAAAGGGAAAACATCCACATCGGCTGAGATAGCAGCAGAATCGAATAGGTCATATAATAAGAGGGAAAAACATCAGATCGATCAGAAAGGGAAACACCAGATCTAATGAAGGGAAATGACACAAATCAACCGGAAAGAGAAACACCAGGTTGACCGAAAAGAGAACACATCAGATCAATTACTTCACAATAAATCAGTTACTCACAACATCCACGTTTTACTGCCAGGAGAGTCCTGTCAATCGACACGGCTGGGCAGGAATCACACGTCCTGGGCAAGGCGTCCCTTCCACAGGTGGAACTCTCGCCGGGTCTCAGTCTCCAGCAGTTTATATAAGCAGTTACAGAGTTTACAGAGCAAGCATCCAGTGTTCCCATGCACCAATGGTTATCAGTGGCGTACGTGCACTGAGCCCCTTGGCTAAGGTCCCCAGCCCAGTAATTGTGTACGTGCATTGTTCTCTTTGGTTATCGTCTTAGCCCGGCACAGATGGCCAGTCAGCCCCAGGCTACGGTGCCCGAAGGGCCTTGAAATTTTTACACATTGCAACTACGTCCATGGGAGAAGGGCCAGTTCCCACCATGCCGAAAGCAGCTTTTATATTTCTTTTTGTGCTGGTGGCTGTAGGTCAATGGAGTGGCCAAACATGGCTGTATTCATGTCAAGACAAGGTATTAACACATATACCTCTCCCCCCACAGCATATGCACAAACCAAGACACTCATCTCTCCCGAACAGCACACACGCATTTATTATCTATGCATCGATATAAAGCTTTCCTGAACCTATTCATATTTTCTTTTTCCTTTTTTTTTTTTGTGAGGAAGATCAGCCCTGAGCCAACATCCATGCCAATCCTCCTCTTTTTGCTGAGGAAGACTGGCCCTGGGCTAACATCTGTGCCTATCTTCCTCCACTTTATATGGGATGCCGCCACAGCATGGCCTGACAAGCGGTGCATCCGTGCGCGCCTGGAATCTGAACCTGGGCCGCCAGGAGCAGAGTGCGAGCACTTAACCGCTACGCCACAGGGCCGGTCCCCTGTTCATCTTTTCATGTTATACTCTCCCGAGTTTTTAGTGCTAGTGTAAGTCCCACAGTTTTACTTCTCTGGAGCAGGATCATGCAGTGGAAAGAGCACTGGACTTGGAATCCGGGAACCTGACCTCCAGTTCCAGTTCATCACTGGTGCGTTGACCTTTGACATCTGAGCTTCCATGTCTTCCTTTGGTTAACGGAAATAAAATACCATCTCTGCCTGTGTTTTACAGGCTTCTTAGAGGATCAGATGAGCACTTTCATTTTATGTATATGCAAGTATGTGCAAATAGTCAAGCATTATACCAGTAAATATATAGTATTGTTATGATGATTACATTTGAATCACATTACATATATGATTACATATACAATGTTCAAAACCAAACTCTTCAAATTCCCAACAGAATGAGCTGCTGCTGCTAACTTTTCTCTTACGGCAAGTCACAAAGTCTGGAAACCTCAGTCTTCCTTATAGCTGCATCTGCCTCCCACCCCACATCTCTTTGGTCAGAATAGTCTTTGATATTATTCTTTCAGTATTTCTCCATCTCCATCATCTCTGCCACCCCTTGTTGTTTAGGGCCTTATTATCATTCTTCTTGCTTGGCCACTGCAGTAGTTCTCTGAGTCATTTCCAGTTCCTTCATCTCCACATATCTCTACATAGTCCTCATTTTTATTGTTAATGGGTATAATGTACCACGGGAAAAATATTTAGTAAATATTTTTCTACTTTTAGACATTAGGTTGTCTATATTTTCAGTTTTTATATTGTGGTAATAGATATTTTATGTGTATGTGTATACATATATAATATCTATGGATATGTATATAGTTTATGATTAATTATTTTGTTAAAAGCAAATTCCTGTAGCATGAGTTACTAGGTTAATGGGTCGTTCCTTGAGATTTCAGCTTCATTTTCCCAGTTGTTTCCCACAGGTTAGTTCTAATTTATATGCGACAAACAACAGAGTGTTATCGTGAATGTATTGTAGCTTTTTATAGTCTAACAAAACTTAACAAATATATATAATAAAAAGTACAGCTTGTCCATTTTCACACACACGGAATCCAGGCATTTCAAGTCCAGGAAGGTTTGGTGCGTTGCGTCTAGGTGACCTTGTACTTATATTTATAGGCCGGTATGGGTTAAGACCGTTAATGTGAATTTATCATAACCTGTCAAAAGTAGAAAAAAAACTCTCAAGGAAAATTAGAAAATTTTATTCCTGGTCACATGCAGTTTTCCTTAATAGGGCTCTTCAACACTTAAAGACGAACTTGGGGCTTCTTGTGCGTGGAGACCTAAGGGCGCCTTCTCTCTTCCTCACTCCACGTGGGCTCCAACTCTTCCTGCCCTTTCCCTCTAAGCATCCACACTCGTCTCCTCCTCACTTGGGAGCCCTGACTGCGTAGAGGGTGACAGATTGTTCTCAGGTGTCAACTGCCAAGAGCTTAGAGCCTGCTCACTTTCACCAAGCGTTTAGGAAAGGATTCCGAGTTTTTGCCCTTGTCGGAAAAAGGAGGCCAGATTGACTTAAATTTTCATTTTCTTTAAAAACAAGCCTTACATTCAGACAAGTACAAATTACTCAAGTTCCTTGATGAGTCCTCCCCATCTCTCTTCCTCTTATCAAAAAGTTTAAAAGAAAGTTGGATGATAGGAGAATTTGGGTTATTTATGAGGTTTTTAAAATTTTTCGAATTAAGGTAATTAACGGATTTGGTAGTTGAAATAGAGGGTTTAGCTGATTATTCTAGAGAATCATAAATATATGTTTTGGTGGTCAGAGTATAAAGCATTTTTTAACTTTCCCCAAAAACTTTCATCTTAAGATGTCTTTAAGGAGAAACTTACTTGTTCTTTTATTTAACAAATACTGATCTTCACTATCCTATCCAGGTTTAGCGTTCTATGATTCTGTGAAATTTGTTGAAGTACTCGGTAAGTCACAGTGTTAGTTTGTACATATCCCCTATACTGTTTGTAGATGCAGTTAAAGTCAGGGATTAACACTGACATCCATCCTAGCATATCTTTTATCTTTTTAAATTTTGCAGTAAAAATAATCCCACCCCCACTGGCTGCCGTATTAACTCAGTAGTCTTTTTGCCGTAAACACGTGATATAGCAAGTAGAATTGTTGCTGACTCTGCACCTCTAGTTGTTCAAGAGTAGTTCCCATCAGCATTTCTTATATAATCCTCTATTAATTTGTTAATCTTATTAATCCTCTATTGAAAATTGTAAATATTTTCCAACATTTAAAATTTAATTTGAGAAAAATCATTTAAGAATTATGGGTCTTTGAGGCTGAATATTTATGTAAACAATAATAAGTGAAGTGTAAATGCAGTGTAGTTATACAGAAAGATTTACCGTAATAGAAATAATATTAGCTATTTTTTCTTCATATTATGTGAAATAACTTGATGGTTATCTATCTGTTGCTCTATTTATTTCTCTCCCTAGGTGAACGTGTCAAACCTTTTACGCCAGAGAAAGCAAAAGAAATTATAATGTCTTTACAACAACCTGCAGTCTTCTGTAACATGGTTTTTGATTGGCCAGCACAACACTGGACTGCTAATCATCTTTCAGAGGTCCTTCATGGCAAGCAGATACGATTCAGGATTGGACTGAAAAGCACAGATACAGGTAGGACTACAAGTACAGTCATGTGCTGTATAACGATGTTTCGGTCAGTGACGGACCACGCATGTGACAGTGGTCGCATAAGATTAGTACCATATAGCCTAGGTGTATAGTAGGCTATACCACCTATATTTGTGTAGGTACACTCTATGATGATCGCAAAACGACGAAATCGCCTAACAACGCATTTTTCAGGACGTATTCCTGTCGTTAAGTGATGCATGACTGTAATCATAATGATAATGCCTCTTCAGTAGCATTCCCACATTCTCAGCAGTGGTTTCTTTATCCCTAGAGAATTCTTTGTTTCGAATCCTCTTTTTTTTTTGTGAGGAAGATCGGCTCTGAACTAACATCTGCCAATCCTCCTCTTTTTGCTGAGGAAGACTGGCCCTGGGCTAACATCCACGCCCATATTCCTCCACTTTATATGGGATGCTGCCACAGCATGGCTTGACAAGTGGTGTGACGGTGCGCGCCCAGGATCCAAACTGGCAAACCCCGGGCCGCCGCAGCGGAGCATGTGCACTTAACCGCTTGTGCCACCGAGCTGCCCCTAGAATCCTCTTTTTGACCATTTGCAGATAGGAAAATTTTATGGGAAGTTTCAGAAGGATAGTTTGTGTTAAGATTTTTTTTTAGACTAAGCAGCCTAAAGTTTATAGCCTTGTGTAAAATGTATTTGTTCGTGTATCATGGTTCATTGAATGTGGTAGACACTTAATAAATATTTGTTAATGTGCTATTATTTATGTTCTCATGTGACTGAAAAAGACTCATACTAAATAATAGTCCCTTCCACTGTTGGCTCAGGTAGAATGTGTGCTTTTGTTGGTGGCTTCAGGCACTATTTTTAGTGTTCAATCTTGGTTGTGATTTTATCTCTCTGCTTGATCAGCTGCCTGACCTCTTTTGCATCGCATAAATGTGAAACATCTGTAAAGCTGTTTTTTCCATCATCTTAAGCCATTAGATTTTGCCGGCTCCCTCTTCTGATGACTTGTAACATTTTGATCTTTTGCTTTATAGTTAGATAAAGCAATTACTGTTAACTCTAAAAATAGTTAATTTAAAGGAAAGAAACAGTGCTGTTGCTAGTCTAAAGGGGTCCATAACCATTGTCTAGCTTGTGTTTATGTGTTTAACTTCTATTTAAATATGAATAAAAAAAGACAAATAAATATGAATAAGTTTGGTAGTCTAGAAATTCACAGTGTTTTAAGCATTGCTGTGAAGTAGCTCTATGAATATCTATTAATAACTCAGAAGGAACTAGAAAATTACCCAGCTTCACTTCCAGTTTCTCCAAGCTTCTTTCTCTCATGTTGACCTTTTTGTATTTTAAAATTAAATGCTAGACCAGCAGCAGCTACCTCAAAATCAGCTTGTGCTTTTTTCTTCTTGATTTTGGTCAAATAAATCTTCCACTCATTCAAGTGTCTCTCAGACAATAATTTGGAGAGAAATAAGAATTATAATTTTTTTCACATCCTGGTTAGACTCCAAATACAATACCACTAATAGCCAACAGTTATTGAGAGCTACTGTGTTGAGCACTTCTCTGAGTGTTTTGTACATATTAACCCTCTTAATCTTCAAACCCTCTTAGAATGGTCCTATTATTAATCCTGTTTTGTAGATGAGGCACAGTAATTTGACGTTTTCAAGTTAATACTGAACATAAAAGAAAAAGAAAGTAGAAAGTCTCTGCAGTTGTGAGAAACTGCTCTGAGTTTTTCTAACGATAATTTGTTCTTTTTTGAAATTTAGAGAAAATTCACATAACATAAAAGTCACCATTTTAAAGTATACAGTTCAGTGGTTTCCGCATATTCACAATGTTGTGCAACCATCACCACTGTCTAGTTCCAGAACATTTTCATCACACCATCAGGAAGTCTAGTACTCCTTAAGCAGTCACCCTGTATTCCGTTTTATCCCCAGCCCCTGGCAACCACTAATCTACTTTCTGTTTTTTAGATTTGCCTGTTCTGGACATATCATATAAATAGAATCATATGATATGTGGCTTTTTGTGTCTGGCTTCTTTCCCAAACCATGTTTTCAAGATTCATCCATGTCGTAGCATGTATCTGTACTTCATTTTTTTTTTTATTGCTGAATAATTCTGCTATCTGGATATACCACATTTTGTTTATCCATTCATCATTTGATGAATATTTAGGTTATTTCCACTTTTGGGCTATTATAAATAATGCTACTATGAACCTCTGTGTACAAATTTTTGTGTGGGTGTATGTTTTCATGTCTCTTCGGTTTATACCTAGAAGTGGAATTTTTGAGTCACACGGTAACTGTGTTTAGCCTTTTGAGGAACTGCCAAATGGTTCGAAAGTAGCTGAACCATTTTACATTCCCACCCCAATGTATGCGAGTTCCAGTTTCTCTGCATCCTTGTCAACACTTATTTCATTTTTTATTCTGGCCATTCTAGTGTGAAGTGTTATCTCATTATGGTTTTGTTATGCCTTTCCCTAGAGAGTAATGATGTTGAGCGCCTTTTCACGTGCTCATTGACCTTTCATGTATCTTGTTTGGAGAAATGTCTGTTCAAATCCTTTGCCCATTTTCTAACTGAGGTGTTTTTTGTTTTGAGTTTTTTTGTTTTTTTTTCTGTCTCTTTGTTGTTGAGTTGTAAAAGAGATCTTTATATATTCTGGATACTAGACCCTTATCAGTCTATGACTTGCAAATATCTTCTTCCATTCTATGGATTGTCTTAATAATTTGTTCTTTTTAAAATTATTTCTTTGAGTATAAATGCAGTACTTCCACGAGCAGTATAGGGTAGTGGTATAAGAGAGCTGACTCAGGAGTCAGCTTGCATGGGTTCAAATTTTGGCTTACAAGTGTGACTTTGGGCAGGTCACTTAACTTTTCTGTATCTTAGAAGTGCTTTCAAGATTAAATGCATTCATATGTATAAAACATTTAGAACAGTATCTAGCACATGGTAAATGCTCCACAAATGTTATTTAAAAATAGAAATAGTTAAAAAATAAAAATATGGACTTCATTATAAAAAACATTGAAAAAAATGGGAAGATCCAAGGAAATTTAAAAACACTTGGTCCTATTACCAAGAGATAACCACTAGTTACACTTTGATATATGTCCATGCACGCCTTTTTGTATTTTAAAAGTAAAGTATTAATTTTCACAGCCTGCTTCTTTTTTACATAACATATTCTGAGCAGCTTCTCTTGACATTAAATATGACTTTTAAATTGTATGGTCATATCATAGTTTATTTTAAAAATTCTCCTATTTTGATTATTTAGAGTGCTTAGAAGTTTTAAATTTATAAATAAGACTGTAGTGAACAACTTTGAAAATAAATCTGTCCAAGTTTCTGATTATTTGCCTGGAATAGATTCCTAGGAGAGTGACTGGGTCAAAGGGTATGAACATTATCATCAGTGGCCGCACATCTATCAAGTTTCTTACACCAGAAACCTGTGAGTCATTCTCATCGCTTAATGTTGTCTGGTGACTTGGTGATTTACATCCTAAATATCTAGCATGCCCCTGCTTCTCTCTCTCTGTGGCCATCCTCTAGTTGGGGTCTCTCTACCTCCATAATTGTAGTAGCCTTGTCCCTAGTCCCTCTGCACACCCCCTAACCCCCTGGCCATTCTTCGTACTGAAACCAGAGACAGTTTTTAAAAAAACAAATCTTGTCTTGTTTCTCTGCTTAAAACCCTTAAATGGCTTCCCATTACGCTTAGGCCAAAGACCAAGATTTTTGTTGTGGTGTAGAAAGTTCTGTTTGCTTCATCAGCTCAATCCCTCTCTCTGAGCTCCAGCCAAACAAGCATTTTTTCAGTTTTTGTGTTTCCAGAGGAAAGTGCTGTTGCTTCTTCTTACTTCAGGGCCTTTCTATCTGCAGTCTAGCCATTCGTCTCTCTCTTCTCATTTCCCCTTACCCCAGCTCTACCTGGTTAATTCCTCTTCTTCCTTCAGGTCTCAGCTCAAATGTCATTTTCGCATGGAAATCTTTCCTGACCACATCTCCCTCTCCCACGCCCCAAGTCACATGCAACTGTTAAGTTATCTCACAGCACCTTGTATTTCTTAGTAACAACAAAGTTATGATCACATGGTTAGTTGTGTAAGTAAGTAACTGTTTAAAAGTCTCTCTTCCCCTCAAGGAGGTCACCTGTGAGGGCCAGGGCCATGTTTCATCATGCGCTGAGCACCTGATGGATGTTCAAATATTTGTTGAGTGAAAGAATGAAAGTCCCGGCCCAGTGGCGTAGTGGTTAAATTTGCACGCTCCGCTTTGGTGGCCTGGGGTTCACAGGTTTGAATCCCGGGTGCGGACCGATGCACTGCTCATCAAGCCGTGCTGTGGTGGCGTCCCATATACAAAATGGAGGAAAGTGAGCACAGATGTTAGCTCAGAGCCAGTCTTCCTCAGCAAAAAGAGGAAGATTGGCAATAGATGTTAGCTCAGGGCCAATCTTCCTCACCAAAAAAAAAAAAAAAAAGAATGAAAGGTCTTTGGTCTTTATGGCCAAGTGCTTTGCAGAGAGGTGGTTTCCATTTACTCTCCTTCCAGAACGTGTAAGGGTGCCTGTTTTGCTGCTCCTTTGCCCAAACTGAGATTTATCTTTACAAAAACAATCTTGATGATAGGTGAAAAATGGTTTCTCATGATTTTATGTAACATTTCTTTGATTGCTGGTGATGTTGAACATGTGTTCATGTTTATTAGTAATTTGTATTTTTTCCTAGTAATTGCTCTTTGACTATTCCTTATTGAGCTTTCAGGTTTTTGGGTTTTTTTAAATAAATTTCTTTTTTAGTAAGAATACTATATTTGTTACTAATGTGTTTCCCAATTTATTGTTTGCCTTTTGATTTTGCTTCACATTCTTATGTAGTTAAATTTATATTTCATCAACATTTTTATTCTTATTTATGTTATTTATTTAGAAATTTCTTCTGTATCCTGAAAATAAATATTCTAATAGCTTAATGATTTATTTTTTACATTTTATTCTTTATCTGTTCTATATTTATTTTGGTATATATATGTAAAATGTATATACCAAACTTATATATAAACTTTATATATATATACAGTTTTTGGTATATAAAAAAAGTTCACTGACTTGTTTCCAAATAGTTAAGCTGGAAATAACAATACCTTTTATTTCAGTACCATTTACTGAATAATCCCTTTTTTCCCTACTGACTTTGAAGACACCTTTATTATCTTACTATATTCTTATATATTCCAGCATCTTTTTTTGGACCCCCTATTGAGCTATGTCTTGAGGGCAGTTAAATACTTTTTAAAAACTATTTTAGCAACTAGGATATATTTTACTATTTGAAAGAATGACTCATCCTCCCTAATTCCTCTTTCTCAGTACTTTCTTAAATATTATCGAATTTTATTCCTCTAATGAATTTTAGGGTTAAACAGTGTGCTCACATTAAATAAATCCTGTTGGGATTTTAAATGAAAATTCATTAAGCTCTATGCATTAATTTGGAAAGAATCTATCTTGTGATAATACTGTATCTTCCTACACAAGAACATGTTATCTTCACTTATCAAATTTATTTGTCTCTCAATAAAAAGATTTGGAGTTTATCATATAGGTCCATAAATTTTTAAGAATTATAAACAATTATAAATTTTTTGTAGCTGTTATGAAGGAAATATTTTTTGCCTGATTTATTTTTCTAACTAGTTGTGATTGGTACATAAAGCCCTTTATTTTTGTGTGTTTATTTTTTATCCACCCTCTTATGAGTGTATGTAGTTTTTTAGTTTATTCTTATGGGTTTTCTAGGAAGACAGGCATATGATCTTATAAGCAATGATAACTTTGTTTCCTTTCTTTTGAGTATATTTCTTATTTCTGTTTTAGGTCTTGGTTAGAATTTTTCTAGAGTGCTTAAAATAATAGTATTAATAATTAGCATATTTGAATGTAATATATCTCTTAGTTTATTTTAGGAAGCATATAATGACATCACATAGCTCTTTGAAACCATTTTAGATCAAATTCATTTGCCAGTATATGTGTTCAGTGGCAACACTGTGCCCCAGCTGGCAGTAATTGGGCAAGCAGTTGTAGAAATCACCCTAAACATTTGTAAATAGGGAATGGAGTGATGATCAAAGTTCTGCTCAGAACCCACGTACCATGCAGTGTTTCTTGCTTGTAAAATGATGAAGTCTAACAAAATAGAGAAATATTTGTTTCCCTGCTGTCCAAAAAATATTTTAGGACTCCCTTTTGTGAGAGTTAAAAGCAAACTCAATTTATACACTGTTTCCAAATCCTGAACTCAGTTGAGCTTCTTCTTACCTAATACTTCAACAGTAAGTGGAATGCAAGTTGCAGCTGCCTGGGCTACTTCACTGTTAAATGCAAGAACAATAGTAATAAAGTTAGAAAGGAATAACTTCATCGCATAGAATAAACTAAGTAAAACAACTGCACCACCCAGAAGGAAATTGTCATGATAACATAATGGAAACAGTGCCTTTGGTGCTGCTACTACCAGGCAGGAGTGAAAGATTCTATTTGAAATCACTATGCAAATGAAAAAGTCTGTCATTTCCACTCATTCATTCATTGTAATTTTCCCCTGACAGTAACAGTTCTCACATGTAATTTTGGCATTTTTAGATTTTCATTTTTTAAAGTACATAACTTGATGTGACACAAGACGAAGACCCCTGATGAGGCTGCAGTGCAGACATGCCTGTGAAACTGGCCTCAACTGAAAAGTTCTGCTCCGTCCACCCAGGGGCACGTGGCTCAAGTAATGGCTTCGGTGTTCACTTGCATCAGTTGGATTGAATTCTATGAAGTGAAAACTCACAAGACAGTATACTGTCTTCAGGCTTACATTGGAGCTTCCTGAAATGATTTAGAAATGACTGGTTTCCCAGCACCATGTAGCTTTCTTGCCACTTGGGTTTTTGTTTGTTAGAAAACTCAATGTACTCCTATGCCATTATGGTAAATTCTTGATGATGATGTTGATAATATTAAGAGCTTATATATATTGATGGGTTACTGTGGCCCAGGCACTGTTCTAAGTGTGTCTCAAAAATTATCAAATTTAAATAGTTATTAAATATGCATATTTTTATTGTTGAGATAAATGTACCCTAGTAAAGCTTTCCTGCTTCTCAAAGTCAAGTGACAAGTTGATGAATTAAGATGACTCTTTGACACTCCCCCCACCCTTTTTACTTCTCTGCCATTCTGAGGTTTTAGGAAAAAGGGAGGAGGGGGTAAAGATGATGGGGATAATCCTAAGCAGTTCAGGCAGAAATGGGAAAAGATAAAAGCTGTTGAAAGAAGAGTTTGAATACCCTTCTCCTCCTGCTGCTAATTCAGCTAACATTTAAAGGGCCCCAAGTAAATATATGAATGAATAATAAGTACTAATAATAGTCCCTGACTTTTTCTGAGCATCTGCTATGTGTCAAGTGTTGACCTAACTGATTGACATGCATTAGATCTACATCCCCTCTTGAAAGGATTTCATGCTTTGCAAAGGAGATCATAATCAGATTTCTTGAATGTTAACTTTCCAATGTGCATTTAAAATATTCTGCTAGTTGCCAAAGAAAATTCATTTCATCACTATTTAGAAAAGTAATTTTTGTGTAAATGAGTCACACTCATAGTAACAAACCACTGTGGACAGACAGTAAACCTCTGTAAGCTTTTCTGATCAACCATCATCTCTGGTGGTCTTTCCCTTTTTCCTATGCATCTATGGCACAAAATTTTGCATTTAATTATATGATGCCTCAAATTCTCTATTATTCTGGTTAAAGCTTTATCTTTGTCTCAGTATATTCTAAACTCAAGAGTATGATCTATTTCTTTTATGTTCTCACAAGCCTGAGCACAGTACCAGTTGCAAATTTGGTACTTAATAAATGATTCTGAAATATATAAGTTAATGAATAAATGAACAGACTTTAAATTGCCATTGTCCACTTAATAATTCTGAGGTGCTGTATATGATATATGTGTAGTATAAAGTCATAAAATTTTCAGAAGGCAGGTTTTTGTTGCTTTTTTTTTTTTTTTAATATGAAGAAGTGGTTCTCAAACGTTTTGGTCTTAAGATCCTTTTACACATAAAAATTATCGAGCATTCCAATGAGCATTTATCATTGTGGGTTATAGCTAGTGATATTTACCATATGAGAAGTTAAAACTGAGGCATTTTAAAATACAAGAACATAAGTACATATTCCACTAACTGTCAGAGCAGTGACATCAACACGTGTTATGTGGCCTCTGGAAAATTCCACCGTACACTTGTGAGAGAATGAGAGTGAAAAAGGCAAGTAATGTCGTAGTATTATTATGAAAATAGTTTAGACCTCTCAGACCCCTGAAAAGTTCCTGGAGAATTGATAATCTGAAGTATTCCACTGGATTACTGAATCAGGTTATAGTAAGAGTAGTCTTTAATCTTAAGGTTAAAACTGTGTTTTTTACTTTTATGTTTAATCCTGAGTATTGTGAGTATTGTAAATGGTTCTAATTTTATAGCAAGTACAAAATTTAATGTTAAAAGTTAATATTTTTTGGTTGAAATTATCTTTATTTAAAAAAACAACAAGATTTGGAAACTGTGTTCAGCATACATTTAAAGTTGGGTTCTCTTACATTGCAGTTCCTCAGTTTGAAACTACCTGTAGTTATGTGGAAGCTACACTTGAAGAGTTTCTGACCTGGAACTGTGACCAGCCTAGTATTTCTGGACCGTTTAGAGATTATGATCCTTCCAAATTCTGGGCTTATGCTGACTATAAATATTTTGTCAATCTGTTTGAAGACAAGACAGATATTTTCCAGGTAAGTCAATATATTCCTTTTCATCATGGTAATAATTTGTTCTTGAGAAAAGATCACAAATTAGAATTTCCCTAATACCTTTTTCCTTCTCTGTCTTTTTGCCTCAAAAGTAGTTGTCGTGAGTCTTGAGTATTTTATCTAGTCAACCCAGAAGATTTGCTCAAGAGAAGTATCATGTTTGGCTCACACAGTTGAGGAGCCTTCTCACTGTTTTCCTACCACCAGACTTCCTACACACTCTCTCCGTTGTGGTTAAACGGCACCTGAGCTGGTTTGAAGTACTTTAGAAGCATAGATTGTATATAAAACTTCATTTCCTCCTGACCTACGTATAAGTTCTTGTTCTGTCAGTGAGGCAGACGGAGGTCCACAGCTGACTACATGAGAAGCATTCCTAGAATCCTAGAAGCACTCCAGCCTGCTGCTGCCGTCCCTCCCTGCTCTGGGGGTTTAGTACAGGTTTAAGGCCTGAGCCCGAGTGCTGGGCTCCCGGTCTTTGATTGTAGAAGTCCTGCAGAAGGATGGGAGTGCTTGCAGCAGTAAGAATGTGGAAGTTCTTTGCTATGTGTTGACATAACTGACAGCAGATTTTGCAGACTACTATATCTTCTTTTCTTTTAAATATTTTCTTCCTCAAACTGTCAGTTTATTTTGTGGGGTGATTTTGCAAACTCCCTGAGTCTTAGGCATGAGGCAGGAATGAGAGTAGCCCCAGGAAGCTGTTTGGGTGACTCTGGCTTGTCCACAATCAAGTCAAGGTTCCAGAGTTCTTTATCCTGCCTGTAATCTTTGTGGAGCCAGCCCCGGTGGTCTAGTGGTTAAGATTCAGCGCTCTCACTGCCACAGCCCGGGTTCATCTCCCAGTCAAGGAACCACACCACCCATCTGTTGGTTGTCACAGTGTGGCAGCTGCGTGTTGCTGTGATGTTGAAAGCTATGCCACCGGCATTTAAAATACCAGCAGGGTCACCCATGGTGGTGGACAGGCTTAAGGGGAGCTTCCAGACAGACTAGGAAGAAGGACCTGGCCACCCACTTGCGAAAAAACTGGCCATGAAAACCCTGTGAATACAGCGGAGCATTGTCTGATAGAGTGCTGGGAGGTGAGAGGATGGCGCAGGATTCCACTCTGCTGTACACAGGGTCGCTAGGAGTCGGAATAGAGGGCGCAAACAACAGATCCTTTGTGGAGAGAAGTATTTCATCATCAGTGCAGGCTGTTCACCCCCACTCCTCTCCTCCAGCCGGTCACCACCCGCCCCTCTCCGGACTTTCCTCTCACATAGGCTGCTAGTCGTTGGACACCTGAGTGCTTTTCCATTCAGCCTGTACTGTATTTTTTTTCACTTTGAGTCAAGGTGTAGACACTGATGTTTATGTAGTTATTATAATATAACTATCAATACTTTGTAGCTTTCCTTCATTAAATTTTTAAATGTTTACTTAAATTTTGCTTTTTATAAGAAAAGGAAAAATATATCACTTGCCCCATAGTTGTTAGTTGAGAATATGTTTTCATTATCATAACCATAAAAGAAATGTATCGGTTTTGAAAACATTCAGTAGTTGCTTTCTGAATCCAAAGTCTATACCAAATCTACTATTTACTCATTTTTAAATGATAATTTTGAGGTAATTTTTTTTTCTTATAACCTTAGTTGTGATCACTTTATGGATCTTTAACCGTGGAACTTCTAGATATCAAGGTTAACGTTTAGAGTATTTCATTACATTTCTTTTAACCACCCCCTGTAGATTAGACTAGTTTTTTTTTGCTCCGTGTTTCCAGTAAAGCATTGTATAATAGTAATATTTATCAAGTACTTATACTTGGTGTTTTTCTAAGTGCTTTGCATTTATAATCCTCACCTCTACCCTATGATTTAATAGTTATCCCTGTTTTAAGTAAAATGAGGCATAAAGAGGTTAAATTAAGTAAACCTTTTCTGAAATTATACAACTAAGAAAGAAGTAACCCAAGCAATCTGCCCTCCAGGCTTTACCTACCGCACTGTGTGCCTGCTGGGGGTCCGATACCTTCAGTTCTGTGGGGACTCTATAGTCAGGATTTAAGGACTTCCATCTGTGCTGAGTCTGGGCCCACTCTGCCTTGGATGAATCTCTAATCTGACCCCATCATTGTTCTGTTTCAGCCCGGGCATGACAGCACTGGGCAGACATGCGTCCTGTCCATTAAGTGTGGATATAATAGGCAGCCTTTTGGTAATGTGCTGGAATTCTAATTGAGCCCTTATAAAATCTGATATTTTTAGTTGAATGAGTTTTCTGTGAGCTCACATTATGGTGATTAATTTTCTGAATTGGAAAAGGCAAATCTGCCATGAACAACCAAGTCCATTAAGATGTCATTTTTTTTTTTTTTTTGTGAGGAAGATCAGCCCTGAGCTAACATCCGTGCTAATCCTCCTCTTTTTGCTGAGGAAGACCGGCTCTGTGCTAACATCTATTGCCAATCCTCCTCCTCTTTTTCCCCCAAAGCCCCAGTAGATAGTTGTACGTCATAGTTGCATATCCTTCCAGTTGCTGTATGTGGGACGCGGCCTCAGCATGGCCGGAGAAGCAGTGCGTCGGTGCGCACCCGGGATCGGAACCCGGGCCGCCAGTAGCGGAGCACGCGTACTTAACCGCTAAGCCACGGGGCCGGACCCAAGATGTCATTTTTTATCTCAAAGTTTTCTGAGCACTAAGTCTTCTTACATCCCAGGTACCTAAGTTATTGTTGTTTTACTTTTACACTGTACTTCATTCGGTCACTAAGTCTTATTACTTATTGTTTCAAGCTTTCTTCCATCTGTCATAAAATGGTGGGTAGGTAAACATGAAAACTGATAAATTTTAAAAATATTTATTAATTCACTTAAAATAAACTCAATATATTCACAAATGAAAATAACTATACTCAAAATTTTTAAAAATGTTATGAGAGGAGTGGCGTTCTTTTACATTTTCATAAGTCTCTTTAATGTCTGGCTTAATAGAAGACTGCTGGATTCTTCTGTCTGCTTCTTCATTTGATCTGTTGCTGTTTGTTGGTTTATTTGAAGTATATGAAGAATATCTTGCCTCACAGACATATGCAGCTGGAAGAGAGGAGTATTTTAGCAGCCTTTTTAGATAATTGTGGATTTTTTTTTATACTCCACCAAACTTGACAAAGGGTAGTTCTTAAAGGTTCGTTTGTTGGAGTACAGAATCTGAACCCATAATTGATGAATTCTTTGTACTCTTACAACAAAATCCATTGGTCTATCTTGCATGGAATAGATCTTTATAATGCCTTCATTGGCCATTTGGAAAATATTGGTTTACAGAGTTACAAAGATCTTTTAAATGTTGACAAATTCTGTATGCTTCGTTATAAAAAAAAAAGTGACATTTGTTGATATTACCATTCTCATCAGAAAAGTCTTTTAAGTAACAGGAAGCTTTCAGGCTCATATGTTTCAAGATAGAAGTTTCCAAAAATCATTTTCCTTCTATTAGAATATTTTCTAATTTCCCTTGTGATTTATTCTTTGACTTATGGGTTGTTTAGAAGTATAATGTTTAGTTTCCAAATATTTGGGGATTTTCCAGCTCCCTTTTTGTTCGATTTCTAATTTAATTCCATTGCGGTCAGAGAACATACTTTGTATGATTTCAGTCCTTTTAAAATTATTGTTTTATGGCCCAGAATATAGTCAATCTTGATAGATGTTCCAAGGACACTTGAAAATAAGGTGTATTCTGCTGCTGTTGTGTTTTATAAATGTCAATTAAGTCAAATGGATTGTTCAAGTCTCCTGTATCCTTACTGATTCTCTGTACACTTGTTCAACTGATTATGTAGAGAGAGCTATTGAAATTTCCCAACTATGATTGTATATTTGTTTCTTTTTCAGTTTAGGTTGGTCAGTTTTTGTTTCATGTATTTTGAAACTGTTATTAGGTTCATACACATTTAGGGTAATTATGTCCTCTTAGTGGATTGATCTTTTATCATGATGAAATGATCCTCTCCCTCCTGGGTTCTTCCTTGTTCTCATGTCTACACTGTCTGAAGTCTGCTTTGTTTAGTTTGCCTTTGGTTAGCGTTAGCATGAAAGAGGAGTACTTACTGTATGATCCCATTTATATAAAATTGTAGAATTTGCAAACAAATTTATAGTGATAGAAAATAGACCAGTAGTTGTCTGAGAATGAGAGGTTAGAGAGAGATGGGTTACAAAGGGTCGTGGGGAGATTTTTGGACGTGATCAAAATGTTTGTCATCTTGATTGTAGCAATCGTTTCTCAGGTGTATATGTATGTAAAAATTCATCAGATTGTACACTTTAAATATATGCTGTTTATTGTACATAAATAATGCCTCAACAAAGTTGTTTTTTTTAAAAAAAAAAAAAGAATACAGAAGAATACAGTGCTACTAGTACACTTTGGTTCCACTGTCTTGACACCAGCAGTTTTATTCATCACTGTTTTTGTGCCTTCAATGCAAATGTCAACACAGTGAAATAGGCAAATAACATCTTAGTAGTATTAATAAAATAATTTCAACCTCACAGATCCCCTGAAAGTGTCTCAGGGACCCCCAAGGGGTCTATGGACTGCTTGAGAACATGTGGTCTGCAGCATCACTTCTGAAATTACTCTATTCCTCCAGTTCTGACTCCTCTAATTAATTCTAAAACAATTTCTTATGAAAACACATTTCAAGTCATGCTCTGGATTAAATATTGAAATATGTTAATCATGTTCACAAACATTTCATGACTTAAAATTGTAAAGGATAGCATTTAAGACTCTCCCCGATATGACTGACATGACCTGTCTCCTCTGCATAAGTCCCTGTCTAGTCTCCTCACCAAGTGCTGGACCACCGTGTTCTCTCTCATCTTCTGGCCTTTGCTCGTGTTCTTCTCAATTTCTGCCTATTAAAATTCTGCTTCTTAGGGCCCATCTGAGATTCAGCCTTGGCTATGAAGCCTTCTCAACCACTT